TTTTTTTTTTTTGCAGGCCTGTAGTCGTCGACGTGCGCCTGCTGCGCGCGCGTGCAGTTTTCCCGCCTGCGCCCCCGCCGGGCCGTGGTGCGGATCCATGCAAACTCAGCCGCGGGCCCACGACCGGCCTCCTCGGATGCGGCCGACGGTGTCACGAAGGAGCTTAGCCTTCCAGCATGTCGCTTCTAATTTTGGCGGCTATCTAGGACTTGGCTATGCCGCTGAAGTTATTAGGCCGTATGGGCAGCTGACCCTGCCGGAGCTGTAGAGGTACAGCAGGGGATGACCGTGGTTGTCCTTTGACATCATCAGGAGTTGTCTGACGCCTGATTGACTGCAACTCTGGAACGTGGTAAAACTCATGAAACTATCTCGTTAGGAGGCCAGGTTCAAGTTAAGAAGAGGTGGAAGGGCAGTTCAAGTGGCCTAGCTGCCTGAGGCTGGTGAGACCGGGCCTGGTGAGAGAGAGAGGCACTGTGGGGTCAGCATGTGACATTCAACCTCACACTTTGTGCTTTCCTCCGGTCGGAGTGATAAGACATGTGGAACAGGCCCTAAAGGAACAACAAAATGGAGTGTGCCAAGGATTTTTGGAAAAATTGAGTGTGGGGACACAAACGGAACTAAAATTCCCCGTGTGGCTCCAGTTAAGCGAGAAGTGGTCATAGCCACACGAGAAAGCAATGACACGTGCTGTTTTTAAATATTCGTTTAATCCAAAAAGTATCTTTGAACTTCCATGCGGGCTACTCGACGTCTTTTTGAAGCTAAAGGTGGGGGTACACACATGGGATCTCGTTTTCGAATCAAGTCCCAGCGACGTTCGTTACAGAGCTCGGAATCCGATGTGGCAACCTCAGCCTGGTCGCTCTTTCCTTATGTTCGTCTTCGCTGCGTGTGCGGCAATGAAACCCCTTTTCCCGATAACGCATGATGCAGCAACAATCGGCACACAGAGTGTTGGGCCAATGGGGTGTCACCGTCATCCACTGGATGGTAATTAACTCTGATATGATAAAGGCAATAACAATGAGTACAGGGGAAAGTGAGTATCAATAATGACAAAACCAGTGCCTATGAATCCTTAACACCTTGTTTCGGGAGGAAAATATTAGCGTCCGCCGATCTTGGCGACAGCTTCTCACACATCTCACTCACATACACGTGTCCTTTCCTCGTACACGGGAACGGGCGTGGTGGGGATAAGGGAAGTCGACGCCCAGTTGGACCGGGGCAATCGGTCCACATGACACAAACAAAACTGATTGTGTACGTCTAAATCACGGGAATAAGCGGACATAAAATTATGCATTATCTTCCATACATCGTGCAAGCTAATCCAATGAAGAGGACGATCATCATACATTCGTGCAAGCATGCATCATATCAGAATCTTAATTCATTCTCATCGTCGGAGCGACAACTCAATCGATATATAGATGCAAGAGATCACTCACGCATAAACCAATAGATACTAAGAAGCAAAGGAAGGGGCAGGGTAATATCACATGAACTGTTGGTCTCTCAAATTCAACGATACTCGTCCTCGTGAGGGCCAACTGAATTCAGCAAGATCAACATGACAAAACCTCAGGAACTTGTGTGTCTATTCAACGTGCAACGAAAAAGTTTCAACGTCGTTGTACTCGTTGAATAGACCTCGGGGGCCCGTTGAATCTCCGTTGAATAGTACAATGGGCCCTCCTCATTAAATATTGTTCAACAGGGAGGGCGCATTGGGCCTCGGACACGTCGCTTAACGCGCCTGGAGCAAAAAACAATTGTCGTCCCGTTGAATCTCATTCAATCCCGTTGAATCCTGTTGAATCCCCGTTGAAGCCCCGTTGAATCCTGTTAAATCCCGTTGAATCCCGTTCAATTCTCGTAATATTCCCGTTAAATCCCGTTGAATCTCACTGAATCTTGCTGAATCTCGTTGAATCCAGTTGGGAAAAAAAAAAAAAAAAGTGTCAGGGGTTATTTTATTTTTTTTTCTTATTATTTTTTAATGGATGAAAAAAAAACTAGGCGTGTGGTGTTTGAAAAACCCTACACGCCTATATTTGTTTTTTCTAATTTTGACTTTTTAAAAAAAATAAAAAACTGCAAAAAAAAAAAGAGAACATTCTATTATATAACCTTGTGTGTGTGTATGTGTGTGTGTGTGTGTGTGTGTGTGTGTGTGATTGGGTGGAGGGGGGGGGCGACCCCTCCCCCACCAATCAATCAATCAATCAACCAATAAATAAATAAATAAAAGTGAAAAAAAAAACGAAAAAAAACAGCTTTCAAACCTCCCGCAAGTAAGTGAGTGTGCGTGTGTGTGTGTGTGTGTGTGTGTGTGTGTGTGTGTGTGTGTGTGTGTGTGTGTGTGTGTGTG